GTGTTTAGCTTGATTTTAGATAGAGTATTTTCCCGCCATCATAAGCATATTGGTGACTGACGATAAAAGTCGTGCTCCTACGGGAATTACTCCTAACCACAGGAAAAGAACACATGGAAGTGCGGGAATACATGTTAAAACCTCGAAGCTCATAGTTTACATGGGACGTTTCTGATTAATCCGAGTTTGGTCTGAACTGGCGTTGCGATCCCATTCGCTGCACTCAGAAACATTCGTGTCCTGGTAAAAGTTAACACATACTTTGGGATTATAATTTCAGAGTACCTTTAGCTTATATGTAGCGTGCAATAAATATTTCGGAAACTCAAAACACCTGGAATCACCTGAATATTGACTGTTATCTTCCCTACTCAAATCAGCTTAGCAGTAAGTTCAGAAGAATTCTTCTGAATTCGTTGATGGTAATTTTTAGACGCTATGTCCGAGCGCGTTGCAGAAAAATAAAACCACCTTAAAGACCAAACCTACAGATAATTCCAAACAATATAACTATGCAATTAAAGTTAAAACCTGCTGAAAAACCCTCAAATAAAGACAGACATTGGCATTTCCGGATCGCTGAATGTGCATAGCTATCACAGGGATTAGTGTCGAAAACTTAAGGTTCCCCAAATCAGACCTCTTATGAGGCACATTTGGCAGAAGGAGCTTTACGACTGGCCCGTGACTGCGGACATAAAGGGATACAAGATTTAGTTCCTTTTCAAACCCATATTGTTTTCGCTTCCACCAATATATCTCTGTTTTTAAAAAATAACCAAGGGTTCAAATTTGCAGTTGGCAGGATAAATGTGAGTACGAAGTTCCTGCCATTTGATCAATTGGGCCTAATGTGGGGATTACTGCCGAATCCGATTACCTGGAACGGAGAATCCAAATTCACGGACGTTGCATACAGGTTGGAAAGCCTCGCCAGTGATGAAATCCAGTCCAACCGAGTTGTTTGGACTCCAGATAACTGCCATCAACCAGAAACTGTCGAGATCATTATTCCCTGCCGAAATCGATTCGTTAACCTGTCCGTCTTCCTCAATCATATGCATTCCTTCCTGCGGCATCAGCGTCGACGTTACACAATGTTCGTGATTGAACAGATAGGTTGACAGTGTTGGTGGCCTTTTCCTTGTAAGACACCCTCGCAGCGTGTGCACTTATAAATGACTTATCAAAGTGTTTGTGGTTCAAGGAAAAGGACATGAATATGCCGAAAATTTATTAAGGCTATTATAAGTGGGGGGAGGGTTT